CAGCAGCAACCAAACATGTCTGAAAAAAGCCAAAAAATGGCAGGAGAATTAAATCACCATGGGTAGGAATAACTGATGGCCACAATGAGTGACATTCTTTCCCCTGAATTTGTCTCATTTGATCAGGGGGAAAGCAAAAATGCTGAGGTTAAGAATAATTTCCTTTGTTCCTTCTCATCTATTATTTGGGAAGAAATCAGTGCTACAGGAGTGAATAGGGGGGAATTCTAATCCTTACCCTCTTTTGGGCCACTTAATGGCTTGTCCTTCTCTTGCAAGGGGCATTTAGAAATGAGGAAATGTAATTATAATTTACTGGCTTGATTTCCTCTGTGGTCTCTGAATGACGTAACTGTATGCAAAACTCTTCTGAAAGGAGAGAATTTGGGGCAAACCATGTTCTCTGTAAACAGTTGTTATTACATGACTCTCTAAATCAACACTACTTTCTTTATTCAATTTTAGCACATTTTGGCTTGGCAACTGAATGTAATGTAATATATATAACAATGGTCAGTTGTACATAATTTTCACTTAACGAAACTCATGCCATTTCAGTCAGGATTTGAGAAGCTCATGACAACACAGGTTGAGTTCTGATCTCATCATGTCTTAAACTGGCATGAAATAACAACATAAGAGAACACCCCTAATATCTCAGATCCAGGGACTGGCAATTCCACACAGACTGGCCAAAAATGAAACTTAGAGCTCTTCAAACCCAGCGGACCCATCAGGTTTGCTTTTAAAAATCCTAATGTGAAAATTATCTCCTGCCCCAGCAACTTGAGTACAACAAAAGAAAATAATCCAAAAACAACAAAAAGGGAGTTTGGATGATGCCGTAGCAACCCCAAATGAACAAATATTGGCAGCAGGAAACAGATGGAGTGGAGAGAGGAGCTGGAGCAGAGGGAAAACAGTAGTGAGGGCAGCAGCATCAGGAAAGGGATTTCTCTAGGAGCCTAAGAAGCCCCCCCCCCCGGTCTGCTTCTATTGCCATATTCCAAGTATCCCATAGCTGTATTTTTGGGGAAATGTAGCTTCCTGAAATTGAAAAGATCTAATTCACAGATGTTCCTTGAAATTATTCTCCTGTTTCCATAGAAACCCAGCTCTTATTGGTGAAAATAAGGTGTTTTTAATGACTATTTCATAACTTCACTTACCTTGATTTGTCTATCTGACCATTATGCTGCAAAACCCTATAATTTCATGCTTACCATGCATGCGGTTTTAAAATAAATGTCTGGCGATATTATCAGACTTCTTATGCTTTTTTTAGACATGGTTATGCTGACAATTGTGCACTGGCCCTTACTACGCATTGTAATTTAAAATTCTAAAAGGAGAGATTACTGTCATTTGTGAAGTAAATGCTACCCCTTTTTTTGTAATCACACTTTCAAAAAGTTTTTTTCAGATAAAACAGATTTTTTTAAAAAAATAATGAAACAAGGTGAAAATAGTTGAATATTAAAATAGCAAATTATCTATTAACAAGAAGCGGGACCCGCGATACTCGTGAGAGGGTATTCCTCGCGGTTCCCAGGTGGCTGGTCTGCTGAAGCAGCAGGAACTCCACAGAGAGGAGGAGGCAGCAGTGGCCGCAGGAGAGCCCACCAGGCAGTCTGCTGGGCTTGCCAGGCTTCCCCCCAACAGCAACAATGGCCACGGCTCTAGCCACCAGCCCGCCAAAGCTTCCCCCCCTCTGCCACAGTTCCTAGTGGTGAGTGTGTTCTCTGCACATGTGCATGGAATGCTCCTTTACTTTTGGCGGGATTTAAGTATCCCTCTATAGTTTTTTTATAGATTTCAGATTTTTCTGCACATCTGGGGATTGCCCCAAATGTGCAGGAAAATCTGTTTGCCCCCTAGGTACCCTCAATGTGTGGATTTAGATATCCGCATGCAGGGGGCACCTTGGCTATTAGATATATAGATAGTTTGGGATAAGCAGATTCCCCCAGCTCTGATCTCAGTGGGGATCATTCTCTTCTTTTTTTACACCAGGGTTCTGCTCAGATGATTTCCTCTCAAATTTAGCAGAACAAAGAAGAGCAGAAGGCAAGGAGTAGAGAGAGGATGCTCATCCTCCATGTTTGCTAATCTTTACTGGGACCCCACCCAAATCATTAACTCTTTTGAATTTGAATATTAAAATAGGTTTTGGTTGGAGGAGTAGTCTGAAGGATGGAGAACCGAGATCTGATTGCGAAGTCCCTCCAGCAGAACTACTTTAATGCCTGAATAGCCATGACTAGCTTGATCTTGTCAGATCTCAGAAGCTAAGCAAGGTCAGCCATGTTAGTATTTGGAAGGGAGGCCACCAAGGAAGACCTGAATTGCTATGCAGAGGTAAGCAATGGCAAACCACTCCTACCCATCTCTGGCTTTGAAAATCCCATGATCCTGGGGTCACCATGAGTTGGGTTGTGATGATGGCACACAATGATTATTGTTGACTGTGATGCAGGGGCCATTTCGTAGAAAAAGAGCTGCAGGCGCTCATTAGCATATCTAATAAGCTATTAGCATAATAGCTCATTAGCATATGCCACACCCCCTGACATCACCAGAAGTGATGTCAGAAGGGGAAAGGGGAGGCATCTTCAAAAGCCTCCATTTTCCTTCCCCAGCCGGCCTGCCAGGGTGGGCTGGGGGGAGAAGTGAAGAGAGAAGGGGTTTAAAGTTTAAACCCCTTCTCTCTTTGCTTCCTCCCTAGCCGACCTTTGCAGGTCGGCTGGGGAAGGGGAGGCTTTTGAAGATCTCCCCCCCCATTTTTACTTCCCTAGCTGACCTGCCAAGGTGGGCTGGGGGGGGGGGCGGAAAGAGTCACGCCGCAGGAGCAGCGTGATCTCTCCATTCTATTCTATGAGGCCATAGAATACAATGCAGAGATGACTCCAAAGAGAAGGAGTTTGGGGCAGGGGCGGGGAGTTGGGGGCGGGGCTTGCTGCCACCACCATTTGTCCCCGCGCCTGGGCTCCTGGAGTGGCACTCCGGCGCGCTCCAGGCCCAAACGACCCCTGCTGTGATGCATCTCTTTAAAAAAGCAAATGAATTTCAGCCCTTCAGGTCTGATTTGGAAGGAGGTTCAGTTCTGTGCTACCAAATCTGATCCACCCCCAATTCCAAATTTTCCAAATGCTTTCCAAATTTACAGAGAAGGCATGATTCCTCCTAGCAGTGCAGGCTTCAAGGTGGGGGATACTTCAACGAGCATATGAAAGGGCTCTTGCTGACACTAGGAAGCAGTCCCCGCACACCCACTGGTGTTCAGTCCTTAAACTGAGGTTACGTTGTTTTGAAACCTCTGCTTCCCTTCTTTTGCCTTGCCAAAGTGTAAGTTTGGGTACAGGGGCAACCAAAGTAGGACTGAGCCATGCAGTTTGGTGGAAAGAACACAACAAGGCTTGATCATAAATCTCAAGTCAAGATTAAAGAAGTTAATTTGGTCCGGCAGTGCATTTCATCAGGGCCGGCTCACCCGCTAGGCAAACTAGGCATTTGCCTAGAGCACGGGCCGGCCCTTAGGGGCGCCAAAGCCCCCCAGACCCCACCAAAAGCCCTGAATGATGACTTCCCTGCCGGGCCCCACCGCCGGAGGAGGAGGAGGAGGAGGAGGTGGCCGGCAAGCAAGAGGAGGCGGGAAGTGCTCGGGGGCTGCGCCCTCCGGCCTCGCGGCAGCTGAGCCCCCCTCCCAGCAAGAGAGAAAGAAAAGGTGGCTGGGATCAAGGCCCTGGTCTCTGCCCACCTTCCCCTCTCTCTTGCACACACACTCTCTCTCTCTCTCTGTGCCGGTGAGGGATGGAGGGAAGCAGGGGAGGGAGGAAGAAAGGAAGGAAGGAGGGGTGGCAAAACGTGGCCACTCACTGCGTTGAGCGCGCCGGAGGGAGGAGATTGGTGAGGGAGCGGTTGCCCGTGCGCGCCTCTTGTTCCCGGTGAAATTTGCAGCCAATCATTAGGAGGTGTCCACAGCCCCTGCATCCTCCTCACCTCCTCGGCGTGGCTTCTCTCTCTCCCTCCTGCCCCCAACACACACACACTCCCCGCCTGCCCCTTCGCTTCCCTCCCCTCGCAACCACACACATGCACACACACAAACAGAGAGTGAAGGTGGGGGGAGAGGGAAGAGACTTGGCCGGAGGAGCAGTGGGCTGTGCAGCATTGGCGCCCCTGAGTTCTTCGCTTTTCTCCCAGCCTGACTGTCCAAATTTGCTGGGTAAGTTAGGGAGGGAGGGGGGAGCCCGGGCGCTGGTACCGCCATCCCTACCTCGCCCACGGGTCCCCTCTTGATGAGGGGCCCCTTCTTCCTCCTCACTGCTGCTGGGCACGAGAGTCCCGGCTGGCCGGAGGGAGGGTGCTCGCAGCCACAAGGCACCTGGAAGCAGCCAGGCCTTGTCCCCACACCACTTTCGGTGCGCTCCTCTGCCCGGCTCACCTGCAGCCACCCCGGCAGTTGACGGCGGGACAAGCTCCCTCCGGCCCTGGGCAGAGCTGAGGCAACTTTGTAGCCTCCAAAGGGGGAGAGAAGTTGGACTAAATTCTCTCTAGGCCCCCCCCTGGAGGTTGGCAGTGCATGGGGGCATGCCAGAAGGTGGCCCCGCCTAGGGCGCAAAAAAACCTCAGGCCGGCCCTGCATTTCATAACAGCTTCCTGGAGTGAGGGTCCTCTTCACTACACAGCAGTCTGTGAAGAATACTTAATTCTCTTTGGTGCAAGTGTTCCTAAATCGGTGCTATTTGGCACCACTTGGTTGGAAGTACATGAGATTGCAAGGCAAAAATATAGCTTAAGATCCCCAATGCTATTTTACAATGGAATCTGTAGCTGCTGACAGAGTGTATGTCTTATAAAAATAAAGTCTGAACAGTTCTGCAGAAACAGTCATGTTTTTAAGTGGTATTTCATTTAAAGTGAAATAATTCAGTTACATATTAAAAGTCCTATTTGAGATTTTCAAAACTCATGGTTAATACAAAAGAAATCATTCATACCTCGCCAAGTGAGTAGTATCTTCTTGGAATCTGAGAATCTGGATAGACGTTTTCTAGGTACCACGAAAATGGATTACATTTCATGTTCTCTCTCAGTGCCTTTCTGGCAGATATGTCTCCATAATCCACTTTAACAACTCCTGCCGAAAAAGATTCAGAAAGTCAGCATAATCAATATTCACATTCTTTCAAATTATGTAAAAATGACACTCAGTATTTTCCTATAAAGCATTACCTTATAGTAAAATAAAAAAGGAAACGTGGGTTGCCGGATGGAAGTTGTCTGATCCATCTGACCCACCCAAGCTCACCCTTTAATTCTCCCTGAGTTCTGGACATACATATCTGGTGCAGTCCAGAGGAATTTCAACTCATCTGGGTATATCCAGCTATGACAGAGATATTGCATCAGCCGCTAGACATCTCCCAGGGAGATCCTTCTGCTTCTGCATGTACATCAGCAAAGAGTGCTGAATCATCTGCCTCTGTAGAATCAACTGCTTGAAGCTGTTTGAAGCACCACACTGTAGATTTTTGAAGACAGCTTAAGGAATCTGGCCTCGGGGAATTTCTAGGTCCAGGAAATCGCCTGGGAACCCCCGCTAACGTTCTATAGGCTGGACTGAGACTAGCAAGAGAGATTTCACAGAGAGATACAACCAAGACAGTGGCTTTACCTTAGAAACTATTTACTGAATCTTTAACACCACAATGCAGAAACTTGTAACCATATAACATTATAGTATGCAGCATACAGAATTAATCAAATTAATCAAATTAATCAAATTAATCAAATACCTAAATAGAGTGCACTGTAATTCTATAGAGGATATATCCTGGTTGTCTACCAAGACCCATAAAGCAGATGGTTGGCATACAACCCCGAACAAAAGCAAATACTAGCATTATATACCTGTAAAATCCCATATAACCATCAATCAGACCTATGATGGCCCCATTCACATGGAGAAGTTGCCGCACTAAAGATACAAATGTCAGGTGGATTTTCGGTGCATGATCACACCGCAACATCCGGGAAGCATAGCGCACCCGTGGCGTCCCGCTGAAGATGCGCAGTAAAAAATTACATCGGAAAGTGCACTAGTATCTGGAAAATGGGGTGGGCATCTGATCGTGGGAGCGGTAGTATCCCGTGGCATCCGGTGCCCGTTCACATCCCATCACAAACCGGGTGTTTTTCATAAGCACATGTGCACAAACACACAACTGAAAGCAGTGCTGCCCCACGGAACTGCGCATGCGCACAAATTTGCATAGCCCTGCCTGGAGTGAGAGGAGGCATGACCTAACCAGTTTGGATGACTTTGCCCCACTGAAAAGAAGAAGCCTTCAGGTAAAAATGTTTTGTTTTAAATCAGTAACCTCTTTTGACAAACACATACCCACAGTAATAAAAACAAAATAATTCATAATTGCATAAAGATGATTATGGCACCTGCCATTTACTAACCCCTCCAAGAGTTAGTATATAGGAAACAGACATGACCTGATCACTAAATAAATAAAAATAAATAAAAATATCCTTTCAATCAACACTCGATGGGCAAGCCAAAAATAGTACAATAAAATGGAACTCAGTGTAGTATTATTGAACGGGATGTATGCCCTGCCGGCCTGTAGCCAGGATTTATGTTTCAGGGAGCATCCATTCAAAATCAGCTGCTTCCGGTGAAGGAAAACACTCCTTTCAATTACAGGCTCAGCCCGACAAGGTCGGGGATTCTAGGGTCTGTTTTGCCACGGCAAGGCACAGAAGCGTGCACCTTTTAAATTTTTAAAAAAATGTTTTTAAAAATTTAAAAAAAAAACTTTTTCAGGAGGAAATCTTGTGGGACTGACCCTTTAAGGAAGGGGGCAGAACCCTGAATAGCCGCACTGTAGCTACGGGCCTGATGCCCTGCTTTGATATCTATAGATAAATATAAATATAGTAATGAGAAAACAATCAAAGGACAGTTGGTCATCCTTTGTTTCAACTGCACACTAATAATCAGGAAGGTCAACTGGTATCTCCCTGTGATGGAATTGAAAATCTGGGACCAGCAGAATGTTGAGATAGATCCCTGCTGAGTCACATGACATAGAGAGGAGGGGGCCTTTTGGCTGGAGCACTCCCTGAGTGACAGAAAACTGACCTAACAGGCAGTTGGAAAGAAGCCGTTAGTGTGTGGGTCGGAGAGCTAACGGAGGGACAGCCAGCTAACTGAAGGAGCTCCAGCTCAGTAGCTCTGTGTGTGACAGCCAAATAACAGTTAAACAGCTAACTGGGGCTGGAATAACCTAGCTTACTGAGTTCCTCAGAAGGAAGGGGACAGTGACCAGACAGTTAAAAGATAAACACAACAGTGTCATACACAAATGATACATCACTCCTTAAGGGATCTGAGAGAAGTGGTTCAGGGAGGGCTGAGGAAGCGGTCTGGACCGAGTCAAGACAACTGGTTGGTGGCCAGTTGGGCTCAAGAGGGGCTATAGTACCAAAGCCAAAAGTTAACCACGAATCAGTACAGGAGGGTGTGATCATCAGAGGGTGTAGTGAACTGTTTAACATCTGTGTGAAAGTAAAAGCAACAAGCATTCTGCCTAAGTAAAAAAACCAAATTCAAGAGTTCAGCCTGAAAAGAAACAAATTATCCTCCGTGTAAAGCTTCCATCCCCCTGTTGTGTTTTGTATAAATAAAGGCTGTTCTGTTCTGAAGTTAACAAGCCGTGGTGCCTAACTCTTTAATGGTGAAGCAAATACATGTAGCAGTGGTCCTTACAAATATCCTGCAGATTTGTGTAGAGGACTAGTCAGGAAAAATAAAGTCCACTCTGACTAGGTCCGGACACGCAGACCCTAACAGAACTGACTGTATAAAGGGGGTTCGTGGCATACTCCCAAACAGGGGCAGGATCTGATATCACTGGCCAGCACCCTACCACATTCTGAAAACTTTAGGGTACTTAAATTTTCTTAAGACAACGGCAATTTCTGCTGATTCCTGTCAGGGTTCGATAGTCAGGTCACACAACACAGTGCTTCATAAGAAGAATTCTGTTTATTGGTACACCAGGACTATGACACGTGTACTGCTTGTGTCAGAAATGCCCGGGAACAGTATGGCACCCTAAATTATACTAGGATCAAACACCCCCTTTTACAAGCTGAAGCCAATAAGGAAAGTTTGCACACATGGGGAAAGAAAGCGGGCAAAAAGCAAAAGCCCTTGGTTCCCAGCAAAGGCCGACAGCAGCTGGAACATCCCAAGGTCAAGAAAGTAGATAATACCCAGACAGTGAAACTCTGTGAGTAGCAGGCAGAGCAAGGTGGTTTCCCCCTCCACACATTCCAGCAACATGGCAGTATTAACTGACAATTCCCTCCTTCCACTGTAGACCCCTGCTATGCTATTCCTGAGGGTCCACTGACCCCCTCCTCTGGAACAAAGTATTGGCAGTCTCAGTGGACTGTGGAATCGGTGGATATCACAACCCCCCTCTTAAGAAAAGAAGTGCCTAAGACTTTAGAACTGCACAGTTTGATACAGATATATACACCAGTGGATATATATCTCTTCAGAGAAACTGACTGGATTTGGGAAGAGGTGAGAGAAAGAGAAAGAGCCTGAGAGAGCATGTGCTGTGACTTTCAGGGCCAGTGAAAAACTCTTGGGATGCAGTTGCCCTTTGGGGATCTGATGCAGATTACCCTACTTTGCACCTTTGCAATACAGAAATTCCAAAACCCACAACAAAACCCCTAGTGTAGCATACATTCTCTATTGAGACATTTTGATTGGCTCTATTTTAATATCACTTACTTCTGCAGACATTAGGACACTATTTTAACCTGTCATAGGTATCAAGTTTCTCAGCAAACACAGGTCTACTATTTGCCAACTAAAGCTTTCAGAGGACTTATAAGCTTCAAATACTTTAAACAGAGGGTCCTATCAGTTAATGGGGCAAGAAATGTTACCCTGTTTGCTAAAATGCTGGATTATGGCAGCTTACCCTTGCTATACATTTCATTTATTGCAGCTAGCTTCACATGGCAGGTGATAGTTGTATGAACATACGAGTTTGCTAAGGGCAATAGCTTATTTATGTGTAAATCTGCATACAATTTCATCTTTATAATGATTTTTTTTCAAATTGGATATCCATCTTCCTAAATTGCATTCTTTGACAGATCACGTAATCGGTGATGTTATTTCCTAAGGCACTGAACGTGGCATTGTGAGCATTCCTTTCAATGGAAGTTCAACCACTTAGAGAGTTCAGATAAATGCAAGAAGTAGGTGCTTATAGATAGGTTTGGTTGGTATTGCCAAATCCAAGCTATTGCAAATAAGTCTGACAAACTTGATAGTAGGAACCATGCAGTTGTTTCTTATACGTCACCATTCAGCTTACTAACAACAGATTCATATACAGTCAATGAACAACTTTTAACAAAAATTACAAATGAAAAGTAAACCAAAAACACGGGAAACATGTGTCAGAACACCAATTAATGCCCAGGACTTGAATAAAAAGATGCATGAATTTTGAAGGTGTACATGAAAGCACACTAGAAATATATATTTACTATAAAATCAAAGGTTGCTTCAGTTCAGTTCTAGCCAAAAGGAGAAATTAAACTGAGCTTTTCATGCTTTGACTGAAATCTTGACTTTTACACGCAGCATCCAGCAGGTGGAAGTGTTTTCCCATGAAAAACCAGGTCTCAGCCATTTAAAAATCTTTAAATTATTTTAGATGGAGAATGCAACGCAATCCCTAGCAAGAAATGAAAATAGATGTTCAGATGTTAGTCATGCAAAATAATCTGCTAAAATCAATATGATAAATCCTGCAGGTCCTTCAATCTAAGTTTCCGTATAGGCTTGCAAGGGAAAGGTTTCTAGGTATCACATAAGCATTTAATGAAGCAAGGAAATTTAGATATTTAAGCCTTCAAAACATTGCTAATAATAGCCCTTTTTCATATGACACTTTTGTTTTTGAAGAAGAAGAGGAGGAGGAGGAGGAGATTGGATTTATACCCCGCCCTTCACTCAGAGTCTCAGAGCAGCTTACAAACTTCTTTCCTTTCTCCTCCCCACAACAGACACCCTGTGGGGTAGGTGGGGCT